AAAAAATGAAAGTGTGAAATTTCAAATGAACATGGCAAATCACAACTAAACATGCATGCTCTCTACAGGGTAAACCCACCAGGCTTGGACATGACATGGCAAGAACCCACAATTAATGAAAATGCAACAATGAAAATGCAAAATTACTATGTGTACACTGTAGATTTTTCAAAAAACAAATCATATGCAAATACAACATATTTCAACTGAAACATATAACTTTTTCAATTCAAAAACATTCAAACATGTTGTGATGAGACTTGGTGACCAAAAAGTCACCGACACCACATTTTTCAGTCCTCGGAGAGCTTTACCAGCTAACCCTTAAGCTAAATGGTTAGCAAATCAGCTAACCACTTAGTAACCTAGGGTTTGTTGAAGTGGCTAACCTCTAACAAACAAGCTAAGAGGTTAGATAAACGATATAAAGTTTATAGAGGTTAGCCTCAAACCTAGAAGTGGTTAGAGAGGTTATAAACCATTACTAGAAGTTATAACCTACTTACTAGAGCTTATAACTAGCTTATTGGAACTTATCTAACCATTTATAACTCTTCTAACCAATAAGATCTTCGCGGGACATCCCAGTAGACCTAGCTGCACAACTGCTCAGGACCGCACCGCCTAGGAGACTGGTGGCTCTGGCGAGAGAAGTTCCGTGTCTGGTCTTTACGGATGGAGCTTATGAAGCCGGGGTAGCCTCTTGTGGAGCAGTCATCATTTCCCCCCGGATTCCAGTACCCATTGCCTTCGGATTTCGAAGTTTTCCATGAAGATTCTGGACGAGTGGCACTCATTCGGGAACGAGCAAGTGATCGCACAGGCAGAGATGATGCCAGTAGTGATGTGCAAGCGTCACCTCGGCCACCTGCTAGAGGGGGCAAGAGCGCTATACTTCATTAGATAATGAGGGAGTGAAGGAGGCATTTGTGACCGGTTGCACCAAGTCGAAAGCAAGTAGAACCATGTTGATCGAGGCCATGCTTCAAGACGCTCGAAACGACAGTCTTTCGTGGTACACCAGGGTCCCTTCTCCGAGCAACGTGGCTGACGCCCCATCCAGACTTAAGTGGCAAGAGCTGTCAGAGACGCTGGAGTGTGACGTGATCGATGTGAAGTTCGACTACGATGAGTGGGGGAAGATAGGCGGGTAGTCTCAGTTTCAATAGTAATTAAGTCCGAAGTGGTTCTTATGTACAGTAAGAAGTGGTTATAGGTGATGCGACAATAAAATGTCATCTGACAGCTTAGCTGTCCCGGAAGCATCCCCATTCGAGAAAAAGAAGAGTCTTTCGTGTGTATGCACAACTTGCGGAGTCATGAAAATTATATATATAATTCACACAGTTCACTTGACCCAGTTTTACCTCACAGACTTGCAGAAACTGCCCTGGAGCCTTTCTTCGGACCTTCACTTCAAGGTCCGGAATCTCGTGGAGGAGCCGCCCCAAGTCTCGCATGGAGGTGACCTTGCAGAGCAAGGAGGAACATCAGCGATTGAAGTCATGCTTGGCTCCTCAAGATCCAAAGCTCATCACAGCAGAGCTCATGCTCGCCGGTCGTCGAGTGCCATGCGGCTTGGATGGGATACTTTGAAGCTGGTGGGCCAGCCCCAGTCATGCTTCCATAGGTGGATCCTTCATAATACTAAAAAAAAGATTCATAAAGCATCTCATTTGACTGTGTTTGAGCGCCAAGTTGTCCTCTAGGCCCTCCCCTTAAGATCCCTTAAAAGCTTCTTGGGGCAGGTAGGCGGATCCCGTGCAAGAGTTACAGGTTCTACTTATGGCCATTCCTCCTTTGCTATCTTTGCTCAGGTTACAGTCGCATTTCTTCCGACTTCCCCTCCAACTGGGCATCGCATCAGACCGAGATGTGCGTGAGCATCGAGCTGCCGGAAGCTTTGCCAGGCGACACCTTCGCTTTTTGGAGTGTCCCACCTCAGTCGCGAGGAATCGAGTCGAAGCTTCAGCATTTGGAGGCACAATTGCTGATTGAGCAGTCCAGGACGAACAGAGACAATGACGTACACACAGACTCCCTTGATGATACAATATTCAGTAATATTCAGTATGTAAATATATATTATGAACCTTAGCTATCGTTGCATGGTGACTCACCGGCGCATCCCCTCCTATGTCAGTATGCATCTAGGGACATCAGATAGGTGAACGCCCCAAATGCGTCTTGTTGGAGTTTTCTCAGTTCCTGCGCCCAGCTCGACCAGTCAGGACACTAATAGAGTCGAACACGGAGCCGTTGAACACAGAGGAGCTTTCAGCACAGATTCTGGAGCATGGGGATCGCTTGAGCCATGTGTTGGCCTGGTTCGAAGACCATGGCCTCCGCTGGGGTCTGCGCGATCAGCATCACGTGGCGCGGCTGTGCCTGGCGGCTTCAGGTGTTGAGGCACCTGAAGGCGGAGTGTGGCCCGATGCGTCCATCGACGCGAAGAGCCTGGCCCAAGTGCTGGCGTTGCCCAAGTTGCCTGAGGACCATTCAGAATTGCAAGCGCTCCTGGGGCATTTGCGGAAGATGTCCCATCTTCTGGGTTCCGAGCGGCAAGGGGAGATTGGTCACACGAAGCAGGAGGTCAGGGCTCAGGGAGATGACTTGGAGGTGCTCAGAGGAAGAGTGGAGGTTTTGGAGTCCAGCATTCCGTGCTTTGGGCGGTGGTTTGGAACAGCTTTGTTTCGAAGATTTGGCACCTGTTCTTTAATAACAAAACATCCCTTTTGGTGTGTTCTTCTCATTCTTAGAGGATATATATATATATATGCATTTTTGGGGGTATCGGTTTCTGCGGCTGACTCCTTGTCCGCCGCCATCAGGTGTCCGTGGTCGCTTCCAGTGGACTTATGGCAGGAGCTGATGCAGGCGCCAGTGCCACCACTTCCGGAAGAGGCCTTGAAGATGGTGTCCGACGCGGTGGCTCATGCCAGGCGGAAGCCTGGTATGCGGAATGTACAGGGTGGTGTACAGGGCGTAGAGGTACAGGGCTCTTGGGGGGACTCTCAAGGAAGATATAGGTCACATGCGCGACCCATAGAGTTTGCACCTGGTGTTGGAATCAGAACTTGGTTGATGGACTTTCCAAGACAGCTTGACGGGGTTCTCTCAAGCATCCAAGGAAAGCGGTTCAGAACTCGCAAGAAGCCGCCGTGAGATGCGAGAGCTTGAAGTCTAGCACTGATGAGAACTTGCGGCAAGTGACCTGGCATGAGGTGCAGGCTGCTGCGAAAGAAGCTGAAATTGATCTCTTGGAGCGGCAGCTCAAAGAACAACAAGATCAGATCAAGGATTTGGAAATCGAACGTCGACAGGGCCGCAGCCAGGTGAAGATGTTCAATGTGATGGATGCAGATGAAATCTTGAGGCAAGCAGATGCATCCGCCTTGCAATGGCATGCGCTGAAGGTTCAAAGAGCATGGAGGAGCCGCCAGGCGAGGAACAAAAAGCTTCTCAAGGCAGTGATCTTCATACAATTTCGAATTCGTCGCTGGAGAAGACGTCGGGAGCGCGCAGCGCGAAGCATCCAGACGCGTTGGTCAGGCTTCCGGCGTTTGAAAGCTCTCTTCTCGCGGTGAGCTGGGCTGGTCGCGGGCATGAGAAAAAAGATAGACAAAGGGGTGTCAATGCGGTGAGATGAGGATCAGTCGTTTGGTTCCCACAGCAGTCGGTCCTGTTGGGGGTTGGGCCGTGCCTTCGTTCGCTGCCTGATCCAATGAGATTAGGGCATTGGACAGGTCGCGGGTGCAAATTGGCCGCACCAGGTGCTTCGCTTCGATCCAACCCCATTTGAGATATTTTGAGATCATGTGAGGCATGCCACTCCACCCCACGGTACTCAGGAGAGTATGTGCTGGTGGCCGGAGAGTCTGCCAATGGCCATCCCTTGTGGAAGCAGATGGGTGGCAAATTTTGGCTCTACTCAGGAGCGGAGCAGCGGAGCAGCCGAGCCGATCTGTTCCCCGGGGTCGTCGTTAAGGAGAGTAGCGGTGCACTGACTCGTGGTGTGTTAGGAGTTTGGAGGAGCTCGGATGGGAGGAGGGGAGGACATTGAATTGGAACAAAGAACTCGGATACGTTGAGTGTGGGGTGAACTTTATAGGGAAGCATAGGGAACTCGACTCGATTTAACATCATGATTGTCAAAGGGAAGAATCTATGGACATATGTAGCGCGTAGTGTAGCACGTTGGGTGCAAACGCATGAGGGAAGCGGTCAATATGTGTTTAAGTGTTGATTTGTTCAAGGAGAAGGTTTAAACACATGTCCCCTCAGTGGGTGAGAAAAAAAAAACGTGGGATGTAACCTGATGAAATCACATAACCTGAGAACAAGCGGATGTTACCACCCAGACGATCCATAAGACTGGTACTGGACCCTGGGTAGGTGACCGTGGCTTTTCCAACCGAACATCCACAGAATAGACTAGGCATGAATCGACCATGACAGGGAGGTGAACCTACCAGAGTGAAAGCGGGCGAAACGGGTGCCATGACCCCCAATTGAACTGATTTGGAGCCCCTGAACCAAAATCGAGCTCTGATCAGTCCAACGGTTGAAGAACCCTATGGACTATCCCGGTACCCCATACTGGGTCTGGTCACTTATATAACCTCTCGGTCCCACCGATGGCATGAACGATGGCACCAAGCCAGGCACCAACGGCTTGTGGATCATTGGTGGAGGTGGCGCGAAGCGGAAGAACTTCGACTGCTCCAGGGGCGTCATCTACTCGTCCGGTGGCCCAACAAGGCTAGCGTCCGGTGTGGCGCCCGCCATTGGTTTGGAGCAGCACATGAGCACCGAATGATGGACCTGGCGTGTTCCGAAAGAACTCCGGATTTGCATTATCGACTTGGAACTTCGAGCGCAGTTTGCCATCCATACTGTCGTGCCAGACCAACAAAAGCATCAAAATGAGAGAGCCTGGCAGACATTCTAGACAGAATTATCCCAGAGCAGGGAACTTCACCAAGATCAGGAAACAATTCCAAACATTGCTGCAGTCTTTCTTTCCTTTGGTCCAAGAACCCCCTTCAGAACATCTTCCTCAGAGACAGCTCCGCTCGCTCTGCTGATCCGTAGAGATCTCAAAGTGGCGAATCCCATCTCCAGTGATTATCCAGTTGAGTTCACAGCCCTCGGATATGCCATCCTTCAGCTTCATAGCTTCATGACCCAGCACAAGTCAAGCATTTTGGAGCATTGCATTCTGAGACCCTGAGGATTACGTACTAATCATTACTAATCTCCAGATGGGAGTGCATCAAAATAGGGAGACCTCTCAAAGACCCCTGGACAAAATAGACCAAAACGCCTGGCGGCCAGGGTTCCCTCTTAAAGTACATAGATCTCAGATGATCTGAGGATTTTAAGATATTTTAAGATCTTTGCCGAAGCTCTAGGGCCAGTGAGCTCCACTCTATTCCACCGCATCCCAGGGCCACATCCCATGGAGGGCAGCTGCCACACCAGGCTGTGGAACCCCACGGAGCGAAGCGCGGAGCGAACCTGCAGGGTCCAAGACAGAGCCTCCATGGGGACTCATTTGGCTTGGGGGGATCCTTAGAGGCCGTGTCAAGAAGGTCATTGGAGTCATTGGGTTTTAGGCACTTCTCCAGATGATTCAAAGATATTCAAAGAGAGAAACAAAGGTGTATTGGAAACCGTGCCACTATCTAGTATGGGATCGTAGGACATGTCAAATGTATACATGGAGTGTTTGGTGAGACTCCGTTTTGATTGGATGTCGCCAAATGTGCCTCATTTTATGAGTAGTTTGGCAGGTTAAAACGTAAAAACAACATATACAATCGTAGCCAGGTGATCAATAATCAATGATATACAAGAATCCCAATACCATCAAATACCAACATCTACACTTCCTTTTAGGTCAAGAATCAGGACATGACATCGTCAAGGGAGCTTTCAAACAACCCGACTGTCAGCTCACTCGACCTGGATTGACATCGAGGATTTTGGACCGTGGTATCTCACAAAGGGTCTTGAAAAGCGTCTTAGGCAGATGCCCTCGACCAACGATGGTCACATATAGAAACCCCCATTCAGCATCAGCCTTCGGAGCGGCGCATCAAGAGGCACTGGCATCAGAGGCATCCGGAGAAAAACAAAAAAAACACGCTAGTCCCAATGGCATCACTGGCATTTGATTCCTATATATAGCCTATATACATGTAACAGTCCCAATGTCCAAGGTGCCTGATTCCCCATCAGAGCCTTGTAACATCCAACGGCCGAGCTGGGAAACGGTCGCCCTCGCCAGGTGGGTGGCCTTTGGCTCCGCTTGCACGGACAAGAGCTGGGGAGACCCAGTGGCGGTGAAAGACGATGAAGCTTTTGGTGAAGAGGTGTTTGGTCTTGGCACATTTGAGCTGCTTTGTGGCATGGAACGCCCAGGGCATCTACAGTAGCTTGGTGTTGATTGACCAAGTAGCTAGGCCCCAACTTCCCGATGCGTCAGCGAGGTTCGTGGAAGATTCTAAGATTCGCGTCAGTGAGTGAGCTGCCAGTCCGGACGCAACTTAGTTCGACTCAGCGCAACTAAGCCGGACTTCATATGTGATGAAGAAGCCGCCACTTGCGGGTGACATACGGCATACGACAGATTTTCAAGCGGAACTGATGATCTCAATGGGGATTCCTCAAACTTGTTCAATTACAGTTGATAGCAAAAAATGGATGCTCAAGACTCAAGACCGGATGTGGTTGGCTGAAGACTGGGGCACGTGAAGGGGCAGGGGGGCACAAAGAAGGCCAAGGGAGGCTCGGCCCCTGTGGAGGCTCTACCCTAGAACCCAGACATGACGCCTTGACTAAAAGGCCGTAAGGTTTGAAGGCCGTCTAAGAAAAGGGATCACATGGGTTCTAGGTCTAGGTGTATTATATACCATTCGCACCTTTCGTTTTGTGGCTTTGAAGAAAAATCGTGCATCGTTGTGCATTCTTGGTGATGTCCAGTTGTGATGATGACCTAACTTGTTTTTGCATGTTTTTGCAGGGATGGTCAGTCTTGTTTTTGCCATTCCATGTTCTATGGACTCTTCGTGTTGGAACAGCTTGGAGCGAACAAACGCCTCGAGTCGTTGGATGTCATTGATGTCGTCACGACATGATCAAGAAACTCCAGTCTCCAAAATTTGGCACAGAAGGTGCACAGCCATCGTGCTTTGATGTGTTTTGTGTGAGAAAGGCTGGGTGGTGTTACAAACGTCTACACTCTGACTCACAGACATGGTTACGTGGATGGCATGGTTAGATTTTCAAGGCGATGTTCCTCTACAAACAGGTGGTGCCATCCACTTCCATGTGTTGGGTACTGAATCTCCAGAAACGTGGCGCCTCAGCCTCCAAGGCTGAGGCCTCTTTCAACCAAGCTCAAGCTCTCCATGACTGGTTCAGCCGATCCTGATAGATGCGGCTTTCTTTACTTCTTCAGCTCAGTGGCTGAATATTTGTTCGTGCACCAGGTGCCCAAGTGGAGCGAAATGATTCCCAGTGGCTGGTCCATCCTCACCACCGTTGCCCTTGTCCAATCCGCTCAGATGGACCGGAAGAAGTCCGTCCCCAGAGTCCGACTGAACGAGACAGACGCAAACGATAGACGTGGTGGATCCAGGTGAGGTAGTTCAAAGCATGTCCAACCCAGAGCCCCTTTCATTATGGTAGGTGGCTTTTTTGGGGGCTGATAGTCTATTCTGTCCACTTCACAGTGAGAAAAAACACAGCAACTAGGGTCCCCTGGTTTTGACCCACAGCCAGATCTCCAAAACAAAGTGTATGAAGAGACGTGGTTCCAGCTGCAAAGCTGCAGGGCCTTTCTTGAGATTCGTTTTTTATTTTTTTTTAATTTTGGTGGGGGGGGGAGGTAGGGATTGTGCTGCTGCAATTCCAGGGGCAACCGGGTTTAGCATAGTTTAGCTATCAAACGTCGCATGGAAGATTTGCTTGCTTGACCTACCAGCTGGGTTAGTGTGCAGCTTGTTTCGTTATGTGGGAGATCAGGACGGTTTGGGAGGCTCATGCTGAAAGCTGCCTGTTTTTGATAAGTTCGGGAGGTTGAGGCATCCTGTTATTGGATCACCTCGGTTTGAGTGGACCCAGTGGCACTTTGTGATTTTGTGCACTCTTCTCCAAAGCTGTTTGGAGCACAAGACGGCAGCAATCATGCATTGCAAAGCGGTCAAGACTCATGGATTTGAGATGCTTGACGATGAGCATATAATTAAGTTATATTAAGTGCACTTTAATCAAGAAAAATATGTTAAAACCAACGCAGATCTTTACAATTCTTTAGCATGGTTTGACATGGTCCAGGTCTTAGGATTTTAGGTGCTTGAAACTCGAGCCGGCCCAGGTGTCGAAACCTCTGACCAGACTGGGCCTGCAGAGTTTGGGTCACTGCAGCCTATGGGCATACCGCCACAGCGACGGAGGTCTCCCTTACCACGTTAGCCTGCCTTGGGTGCATGACAATGGCCAAGACCTCACCATATTTGGTCAAGGCACGAGTTCCAGAGGTGTCATATGTGTCCAGATGCACGAGCCACACCTGTTGGGGGTGTCCATTTATTCTTTGTGGCCGCTTCAAACCAGCCCCCCGTCCCTAAGCCGCCATGGTGGGGTGCCACCAGATGATTCGTTCCGGCCTCGGATCTTGAGATGGTTGGATGGGTGGACAATGAAACCCAACAGGACCAGCACCACCCTATTGAAGATATAGAAGTTGGAAGAACATTTGACACATGGCCTGCCTTGTGATCTGATGTGGGCCTCCTTGTGTTCCATGCATTTTGCCTACATCCGCACTCCGCAATAGTAATTCAATGGAATTCATGAGTAGTGGGCACTACTCCAGTCCAAAACACTCAAGTCATTATGCGTGTGTTGGCTGGGAAGGCGTGTTAAAAACTGTCGAATGATACCCACACCGAGCGTTTGGGCTTGGACTGTTGGTGGCCTCCCGCGCGAGTGTTCGGTGGCCTCTTCCGAGGCCCGGCGGAAGTCGAGGTGACCATGCGGAAGCCGGCGATGTGGCTAGAGACCATGGAAAAATACACATTCAAAGAGAAGGCAGAGTATGGACTCTTAGAACAGGGGCCAAGAAATTCAAGAAAGGTGGGTACCAAAAAATATCTGAGTCGTCTCCTGGGGATGAAGATGGCTATGACTGATCGGGGGATATCGGGGGTATGGGCAAAATGAGACCATGTGGACATCAAGAATCTACATGAATAGACGATGTCATATGCTTACCGGCTTAATTAGACGAGTGTGTCGAGCCCCCTGGCCTGACAGAAGGATCCGCCCCTTCTTGTGCAGATCGCGCCACTCGGCATAAACGGGGCTTCCACTTCGGTTGTTCCTCCTCAACCTCGCATGGCAGTGGACAGATGTTACAACGGGCCGTTCTTTCACCGAGCCAACGCCCGAGCCAACGCCGGACGCCCTCACGCCCGCAGGACTTCAAGGGCATCCTCCGCCTGGCGGAGCTGGTCGCCCAGGTGCGACGAAACGACGTAGACGAGCACGGGGAGAGGACTGGACAGAGATACACTCCCTAAAACTCACATGGAAAAAGGGGAGAATGGACCCTTGAAAGACCCTTTTTTTCACTACAAACAGGTGGTGAACTCCACTTCCATGTTGGTTCCAGGGAGTATCCTCTGAAATCCTCTGAAGGATTTTGGAAGCGAATTTCCTCGACCAGAGGGGGCAAGGGTGGTGGATGTACGGCGAAGATTGGCTCCAGAACCGGGTACAGCATGGTGTTTGTATCCATTGATCTCGTTGTCGATCACTCAATCTTCGAGAGCTCACCTTTGAAACAGATGGATCAAACCCAATCCAGGACAGCCACACAAGGCAGATAGCCTTGTTATCTTGTTTGGGCTCCGACGACCCTCCGTTTCGGTGTTTGGGGTCGTTTGTTGGAGGGCCTGGCGCCCTTCTGAGGAGCTCTAGGGTCTAGAGCATAATTATACTATTATATATATTTAATATGTTAATTAACATTAATATATACGTACAGTGATCACACTACATATAGTAATAGGATAATATGTGTTAATATATGGTCTATATAGTAATAAGTACATTAAATTTACAAGACAACAAATGCATACACTCCAGAAATGTGTTTTTGTCACCCTCCTCTAGACCTGTGACGAATGCGGCTTTCTCACAGGTCGAAAGGATGAGACACGGATAAAAGAGGACTCCCAGAGCTTGGCAGGGATACTTATTGGAGCCTAGGGGTGCCCATGATCATCATTCTGCACTCACTTAGGTACTGAAATTCTTTATATCTCCAGGTTTCGACGCGGGTGGACCAAATTCCACCAGAGAGTTCTGCCCCAGACTCTAGCAGTTTGACAAATTCAGGCCAGTGATGTATGTGGAGAGTAGTTGCAGAGGCTTGACTTTGGCCCCAGCACGAGCAGCTGCCAGGAACCTGATGCATTTCTATTCGACGAGACCTACACAAAAGAGGAGTTTCCCTTTCCAGTCTGGCTTTGCTTTTCGCATCATGGTTTCCGTTGTTTGAAGGGAAGCAGGGGTTCCCTCAGGCAGGTCATCCGCATTTGACTCTGCTGTGATCACCAAAAGATACCCTCCCGAGAGACCGAGCACCATCCCTTCGAGCGATGCGGCCCAGAGCCCTCGCAGGAGTTGGAATCCCAATGGCTGCCAGAGCCTTCGCAGCATGCAGAGACCTTCATTCTTGAGGCTCGGATGCTGGTAGGCAGGAACATTTTGCAACTCGTGTGTAGGAGGACTGAATAATTTCTTGCATGTATTTCTCTATAGATGCCTTTGAAGGATAAATGCATCAAAGAAACCATGGCTCTTGTTGTAGAGCTCGGGTGTGGGGCACAGAAAAGGGACCCCCCTCATGCATGTTCGACGCTTGAACAGCCCAGTTCCCTCGCTTCGACGCTGAACAGCCCGGACCTCCGAACGGAGGCTCCGGGCTTCGAGGGCATCGCTGGAGTGTATGCAGCTGGGCGAGAGCCGAGCAGCGTTCCGGCTCACCGGTGAGCCGGAGCGTTGGAGTGCTGAAAAGAGCTGCCACAAACGGTGTTTTTGGCAGACCTCCCCTATAATGAATGCCCACATCTTCTCTTGATGAGACATGTCAAGTTCCATGTTGTCCGTGATATTGATTAATCATACCATATCATACCCAGACACTCCATGTATGCCATATATGCCTACATTGGGGTGGTTTTGGGGGTCAATGTAGGCATATATGCCATACATGGAGTGTTTGGGAAATGTCATATATACACCATATGTCACATATGTTGGGGGGTGCAGCGCTGATGCCCAGAAACTCTGTGCAAGAGGGAGGGGCAGGGTGCCACCAGTTAGCCTTCACGTTGTTCTTCACTGTTGGACCAAAAATGCGTTATACTCCAAAAACATATTATTGTATTAATAGATTTTGAATCGGATAGGTTCAATTCAGATGATTGCCCGTGAGAAGAGTATAGATTTAAGAGAAACAAGTGACTCCCCCTACTCAATTCATGCCTTGCTAAGGTTTCCATCCATCGTCCTTCCGCACTCGCACCTGCCTAGGTGCTTCATCCAGCAGCTCACGGCCGTGGCAGCCACATCGCCCATGGACTCTACATGGTTCGCCCTGTGAACTTCAGTCCCGGGATGGCCAGACGACTTGGACCCACAGACGAGGGCTTAGCCAAAATGGAAAGTCCATATAAACATCCAGCATGACATGTGGGAGCGGGCAAGGAAGGGGCACGAAGTCACGAAAGCTAGCCTTAGCTAGCTGGAGTTGCTCTTGCTTTAGCAAGTTAAGTGACGGGGTGGACGCACCTCAGAAACCTCAAATAATTGATTAAATCAATCTTATGGACCCCCCCCCCGCGGTTCGACTCCCCCCTGCGCGCGGTGAGCGGGACCACCAAGCAGCTGCAGCACACCAAGCATCTGCAGTCTACCACCAATCAGCTGCAGCAAACCACAAAGGAGCAGCAGACCCAGAGCAGCAGCAGCAGCAGCAGACCACCCAGCGCCAGCAGCAGCAGCAGCAGCAGACGACCCGGCGCCAGCAGAGCACCCAGCGCAGCAGCGCCCATCCCTGACGACCAGACTCTCGTTCACCCCCTAGCTAGCTTTCGTTCACCCCCTCTGGCCTCAAGTCCTTTTCTATTATAGAATTCGTTGTGCATGTGGAATCTGGAATTCCACTCCGAACGATGTGAATGCTCTTGGGGCTGATCTCACCTGGTCCGTTGGAGACGTCCAACTTCATCGAACTTTGCATCGAACCTCGTGGCGCCGGGGGGCCAGGTGCACCCAGAGGCTCGCAGCAAGGGCTACGGCAAAGCTTTGTGTCAGACACTCAGACCGCAAAAACACGACGCTCAGACGACGCCAAACTGAAGTGTACAACCAATAAATATAATGCAAAACTATGCGAAACTGACCCCTTGATTGTGTTCAAAAGGCGATCATGGGTGCGCGCGCTTGCACTTGCTTGCGGGTTTGCTATGCTTTTTGGACTGAAAAGTAGGGCCAAGTGGTTCTCACAAACCCACGTCCGACGGAAGATTGGTCTGGAGATCTATCATCAAAGCCATGCTTGAGCTACTCGATATCAGGTTTTATCAGTATGCATCATAGATAGTGATAGTAGTGACCCTCACCGTCCTCATCATCACACCAGGGTCTTTCTTGTGTTTTCCAGCTCTTTCTTGGGGTCTTTCCAAAACACATGACGCAAATATGTCACAGCTTCTCCTGCGCCTCGCCGTCTGTCTCACGGCTTCTTCGGCTCAAAGGCGGCTCATCATCCAAGGCACAGAGTTGTGCAGCACATGCCGCATGCCACGCCATCCAACGCCATGTCTCACTGCCACCACACGACATCACGGAGTTCCGAACACGTCACGAGTTCACCCGTCGGTCGGGTGGACCGGTTTGCTGAACACCGGTGTTTCGGGATGGCTTGGTCGGCGTGTTTGGGAGGTGTGGCCAGCGCGTTTGTCGTGTGACTGGTGGAACCTTGGGATAGGACCAGGCACTGAGAGGTTGTTTAGAGACAACTCAACGTCTAAGGGGTTGCAAAAAGAGACCTCAGGCCTCCTAGTATAGTATGGAAATGCATGGAAATGCCCTATGCCCTTCCAAACACGTTGAAAGGCTGACCTACAGTCACTGGGACCATTCAAGAGACCGCCATCTTGTTTGGGACCTACCGTCAGGGAACACCTCCATCTCTCATGATGAGAGTCTCATCTCCATTTTCTCCAGTACAGGATCCTGCACATGTGTACTCCACGGACCCGCCTGTGAGATGCCCCCCCTTTTGGGGGGACATTGAGCACAAGCGGCCTCTTCAACCCTCCTCCTTAGCTTGTGGGTCCTTTACCTCGTGCAATGCCCCCAAGCACTCCAGAAGGAACACCTAGTAACCTACAAGAAGGGGAGGTACGGCGGAGAGCAACAGCTGCTGAGAATATCCTTCTGCTATTTCATGTCATGTGTACATGCCTGATAGATGTGGCATGCTGCAGCTGGACCTGCTTTGGTCCGATGTTGTTCTCAAATCAATGCATATCGTTAAGGTTTTTGTGTGGCGAGGATTGGTGAGGTGCCAAGTTCAAAGTCTTTCAGAAGTATTGCTGAACTCGGCCAGGTTGAAAGCATTCCCACCAGGAAACATTTGTATATCATATCTATACTCAGATCCGAGTTCAGAGTGCAGACCCCGTGAACACACCGAAAAACATACGGCCCAGCTGGGCCCAGCAAATTGTGTTGAAGGGGGTGGTCGATAGACACCACGGTCTTGGTCGATGGATGTCGCTGGTCCGCCAGGAGCTCCAAGGGGCGTCCTTGCGGCCAGGCCCTCAGGAGATGCGCGCAAGCGCACGTGCTTGTGGCTGCGCAAGCGCAGCTCTCAAGGAGCCGTTCCCCACCAATCAGAGATTGTCAGAAGCTATATTGACTGTTGAATGATTTTGGATCCGGATTATGGATCCATTTCAATCCCAAAGCGTACTGTTAAGAGATCTTTATCGTTTCATCGAAAACCACCGAAGGACCCCCGGTTCCCTGCGCGATCGCCTCCATCCGATCGATCGCCCCAAAGAACGAGTCAACCAGAACCTGCTAAAGAGTCATTTAAGAGCACCTGTCCATTTCGGAGTCAAAAATACGTATTTCATCGCGCTTTGTCGCTATAATATGTTGTTTTACTGAAGAGAGCTGTTCCACTTTTTGCTGTTTTGCTCTCTTCGTGTTCTTCGAGTTCACCGACCTCCAGAAGAAGTTTGCTCCTCGAGTGCGTTCCAAAACCTTGTAAAACAATAAATAAGCGCATGAAAAACAACTCGATACAACATGTTTGGGGAACAGCCCGACATGGTTATTTGATGTTATTTGCATGATTCATGTGTTGTTAACAAACGGTTTTCAGCTTCTGGACAAAGAGTGCTTCACTCACAGTACATAATAGTTTATCTAACATATTCCAAGTTCTTGGGCATCCTGGGTTTGCTGCCTGAGTGTAGACGGTTACAGATCGGATACATCAACAGTACGAATTTGATGGTGGACATCCTGATGCTATCATGATGGATCAAGAATCAAGATTTCTCAAGTGCAGCCTTTCACATTGCAGGATGGCATGTTCATGGCTTTGTTTGAATATTTAGACACATGGCATGGGAACCGAACCGCAAACCAACTAGATCGACCGAGTACCATCAGTTTTACCAGTCTGACTTTCAAACCCTCGGAGGTTTCTAACTACTTCACCTTGCAAGCTCTTCACCTTGCCTCGATCGGCGTGACCCTTCTTCACCGATGTCTCAAAGAATCTCGAGAGTCGCGATCGACGAGTTTAAATGGTTCAGTGGCCCAGGTGCTTTTGCTTGGCTGCGCCAGCGCAGACAGTGGTGACATCATCAAGAAGGTGGGTCGTGCTGAACTTGTTCCGACAGATGGATCAGTTGAGCAGCTAGCAGTAGGCAGAGATAGGCAGCTTCGTGTTTGCTGCCTTCATGGCTTGATGTAGAACTATATGCTGTTTTTTGCTGCTTCTTTGGGTTGTGAATCTGTGGGGATTTGGGAAGTAGCTGAGACCATCCACAACACCAATTCGGCCAGTCTGGGACCATCAAGGACTTTGATTCATGAGGAGCAACCATTTACCACCACGTAATTACGACTGTTATATTTACACAACGTATAATATATATATATATAATCATATATACATATATGGACCTGTCGATACGTAGATGTAATGGGTATGTATATGTATATATATCCATATGTTTCAAGGTTTGAACGTATCGTCTCCACCTTCGGGATCGATCGATCTCCCGGTACCGTCGCACACCGCAGGTCGTGAACACGCCCTGGTGGCCTGCAGGGAGCGAGAAGACGGCAGTCGCTGGACGGCACTCGACCCGTGGAGGGTGACTCGACCGACTCGACCGATCACCCTATAACATGACGGAAGGAAGGTTATAACCTATAACAATGGTATGAATCATAGATGAATTTATGACCTATAATGTCAACCCCGGATTAATCTGCCCCCCCTCCCCCCCACATAGAAGGTCAACAAGGTCAAGAAGGTATGAGATACCACTCATGAGGTCCACTCCCCCTGAATTATCGGCTCAGGGAGCCATCGTAGTCGTAGTCGTCGTCGGTAGTAGGTAGTAGGTAGTAGGTACCAGTAGTAGGTAGTAGGTAGTAGGTAGTAGTAGGTAGTAGGTAGTACTTGTAGTAGGTAGTAGGTAGTAGTAGGTAGTAGGTAGTAGGTAGTAGGTAGTAGTAGGTAGTACGTTTTAGTAGGTAGTAGGTAGTAGGTAGTAGGTAGTAGGTAGTAGTAAGTAGTAAGTAGTAAGTAGTAAGTAGTAAGT